CCCCCCCCATCTTCTGCCAGTCCTTTGCTCTACTTACCAATTCCGTAACTCCCCGAAAGGAAAATTGCCCAACTTAAGACCCCTCTTGGAAGTAAAGGGAGCGTGAAGTAAATAAAAGAAACACTTCACATTCTTTTTAATGTGAAGTTGCTTCTTCAGAATCTCCCCCCAGTGGAAAAATTTCAACTCTGAAATGCGTCTTTAGGCAGGCGTGGTCTGTTCGATTCAGTTTAACTGTAAGTCGGGTGTTACCTTCATGGCCTTGGACAAGCAAAAAAATATAATTTTAATTGTATTAACTTCAAGATAGAAAAATCAAATGTGATTATCCTATATTTGTTTCAAAGAAAGCAATGAGAAAACATTTTATGAAAGTCAGTGTATTGTTATTTTTTTTCTTTTAACCTTGTTGATACTATGTACTGGGAACCTTGGCAAGCATTGTTATATATATATTATTATCTCATATTTCTCAAGAGAAAAAAACAACACCACCCTATAAAGTAGGGGTTATTAATAGTATCATTTAACAGGTACTTAAACTGGATCTTTTACTAAGGTTAGGTGCCCAGCCTCCATCCAGCCCTGTAACTCAGCTAGTCGGTAGCCAGGCTGGCTCCTCACTTAGTCTAAAACACAGCCTGGTTCTGAGCCACTACACAAGACTGCTCCACTTTTCCAAACCCTAAAATTTCCAGGATAATCTCAGAACAGGAGGCAAAATGCACAGTTTGTTTGTTTTTTTGACAATCTCAAGGACTAAAGTGGTTCCTAAAACCACGTACCTGGAAGTCCAGGATCAAAATTCATGCCCCAGACCCCACTTGTGAAGATTTTGTTTTTTGGTCTTTAAAATGGGTGATAATAGAAATGTCTACCTCATAGAATTAGAGAAGATATGTGAAATTTCTCTACACATGATAGACACAATTGAACGTTTATTACTATAATGTAGAGGTTGATGCCTTGTTAGCTTATATGACCTTGAGCATATTACTTCACCTATCCAAGACTCCGTTTTCTCATTTATATAACTGGAATAATAATAGTACCTATTCATGGACTTGTTGTAAGAGTTAAATTCTATATGTATGTGAACAGCTTATATGTAAAGCATCTGGAATAATGGCTGCATATGGTAAATGTTATATAAGTGTTGGCTTTTAATATTTTTAATATGAATGTAACTTTAGCCCACATATTTTGTCTTTAATTATATTTTATTGTTACAAACACTTTCATTTAGGTTGCAAAGGATGTATCTGTGAGGCTTCACCATGAATTGGAAAATGTGGAAGAAAAGAGAACAACCACAGAAGATGAAAATGAGAAACTGAGGCAACAGCTTATAGAAGTTGAGATTGCAAAGCAAGCTTTACAGAACGAACTGGAAAAAATGAAGGAGGTTAGTATCTGATTATCTAATGCTGTTCTCATCATTTTTAGCTCTTTAGAAAAGCATTCCAAGGACTAATATGACTGTTAAAATAATTTTATTTTTTCATGATTATAAGACAGTTTGTTGTTTTCACCCAATATAGTAACAGATAGATGAATTTATACTAATAAAGGAGAATTTTTCTTCAGTCCTACATCTAACTTGACATATAAAGCTGTGATTGATGTTTCAGCGTGTGTCATCTAAACGTATGTTAATTAAATAAATTACGTAGCTATACCAAATATAAAGTGTGTCAAGAGTATGAAGGAATGAGCCTTGTGTTAGCAGAGGGGAAGAACTAGTTCTGTGATATTACTACTGAGTTCATAGCACCATGCACTTTTAGGATGAAGAAGGTCATAAAGTCTATTTAAGCTAATCTAATCATTGCTCGAATCCTCCTTATAAAAACTTCCAAATGGTCTAATGCTTGAACATTGCCAGTTAAAAGATCTGCTGCAGTAGCTCATTCTATCACTGCATACCTCTTTTGAAAGGTTTCCTTTGTTTTGAGTTGAAATCTATTTAATTGCAACTTCAACCAAGTCATGTTAGTTCTACTCTTTTGTGTAGAAGAGTCAGAATTCTCTTCTACATCAGTTGTTTTCAAGATTCCTACCTTGTGTCCCTGAATCTTCTCAAAAACATCAGCATTGAAGAAAATAATTGGAAGAGAAAAGAAACAGAAAATGTCTATCAAGAAATAATTAGCTTTGTGATAAGTAACAACTTGAATTAAAATAATATTTTTCTTTGAAACTGCCTGAGAGAATTCAGTACAACTTGTGAAAACCATTGAGGATTACCAGATTACGCAAGTGATCCTCTGAACATTTTTCTCTGCTTAATTATGCAGATTTGAAATGAAAATCTTTTTTTTTTTTTTTTAAATATATCTTTATTGATTTCAGAGAGAGGAAAGGAGAGGGAGAGAGAGAGATAGAAACATCAATGATGAGAGAGTCACTGATCGAGCCCGCAACCCGGGCATGTGCCCTGACCGGGAATCGAACCCCGATCGCCTGGATCCTAGGTCAACGCTCAACCGCTGAGCCATGCCCGGCCGGGCGAAATGAAAATCTTAATCTTTCTGTGGACTAACTGTGACATTGCAGTTTTCCATTTTCTGCGCTATGTCAAAATGGTATAAAAGTGTATCTAGTGTATAGCAGTGAAATTATCAATAGTCTAATTAAGAATATGTGTCAAGAATTGTAGAAAACTGTTTCGGTGGGGTAGACTCTTTGGTGACCTAAGTTTCCTCTTATTCTTATACTATACTGACTTCAAACATTTTTAACATGACGTTTTAATGACATGCAGTTCTTGGCTAATACCCAAGGGTGGCTGTGCGCTACAGTAAAAGATCATGGAGGCTGGGAGCCTTGTGACTTTCTTCGCTGGTAACTGAGTTGACTTAAAAGGCCTCTAACTCTCTTTCCTTCTGCGTATTCAGTTGTGGAATGTTGTTTTCAAGGATTCTCAACATCTGTGGCTATCGTGGATTTTCTCATGAAATCCTGATGCATTACCGTTAAAGAGCAGCATAGATTTTTTTTTCCTGAAGTTGAGATCAAATGTGAAATTGAATAGATATATGTTTCTTCAACAGTAGTGTACAGTTGAAATTTGTCAAAAATTGACAATTTAATTTCCAGGGGAAAAATAAAGTAGGTAGCTGTGTTAGTTTGCTAGTGCTGCTCTAATGAAGTATCACAAACTGGGTAGTTTAAACAATAAAAATCTATTTTCTCACAGTTCTGGAGGCAAGGACTCCACAATCAAGGTAGTGGTGGGGTTGGCTCCTTCCGAGGGCTGTGAAGAAAGGACCTTCTCCAAGCCTCTCCTTTTGGCTTGTGGATCACTGTCTTCACGTTCACATGGCATTCTCCCTGTGGCTGTCTGTGTCTAAACTTCCTCTTCTTATAAGGACACGAGTCAGATTAAGGCCCACCCTAATGACCTCATTGTAGTTTGATTGCCTCTATAAAGACCCTATCTCCAAATAAGGTCACACTCTGAGGTACTTGGGGTTAGGACTCCAAAATATGAATTGTGGGGACACAATTCAACCCAGAATAGTAGCTATTAAATACCTTCATATAGGCAAGCAAAGAGAAAGTTCATTGTTAGTTCCATGAGGCTTCATTCCATGTTCATCACTCACTTGTTTTCTACCATGTTCTTTGTTTATACGATTAAAAACATTCAAGTCAAAACAAACTTTATTTGACTGCCAAGGATATAAGAGAAGTACCTTGTGATTTGGTGTCCTGTAGATGTTTCTCAGATGGATATCTGGAAAGTTGGATTTAGAAATGACATCAGGGCTTTCTGATTTTCATCCTGTGTACAGGAAAGGAGAAAATGCCAGACAGGTGCCCCCCCCCCCATCTCAAAATAAAAACCAAAATAACATGGCTGCTGGGGAGAAAGGCTGGAACCTGGGCATGTCCTCAGGAGAATCTTTGTAAAGATGCATTTCCTTGATTCTGTTCTTCACACCCTTCCCAGTGACTACTCAGGATTGGGAAAGCACTCTTGCAGCACCAAATAGTGCGGGTATATATGTTCCTTCCAAAGAGCTAATTTTCTTTTTCATTGGAGTTATAAAAGCAAAGTTCCAATCTCTGATCTAGAGACTACATTGGTAAAAGTGTAAGGAATTTTTAAGAACAAGTGTGCAGTGTATCAGCTTCTAAAGGTAACCTTTTATTACAAAGATAGACTCTGAAATAGCATTTGCAGTTTGAGAAGGTGAGGGGGTGGCAGAAATAGAAATAGAAAGGGGGGGCAAGAGAGTGGAAAATAAAAAACAGGGATTCTAAATGTAATATAGGGGAAATGAGAAACATTCTGGTAAGAAATTTCATAATCATTCTTATGAGGTTGACTTGTATAGTGCTCAGAAAAGTGTCAGAAAGAGAAAAAGTAGTTTAAAAATATGTTCAGAAATCGGAAATGTTTCATTTAATTAAGATTTTTGTAATGGTAATTTTGTTGCCCTCGTAACATAAATATTATAACTAAGCTGTAATGATAACTGGCTCACTTTGTAGGGTAGAGGCTGAGTTTAAAGACTGACTTGTCCCTCTGTGATTGCATCAGCTTTCTTGGTTGTAAAATGAAAACATATTCAAGTCCTGAGTGATGGTTAACCACATGACTGTCTTCCCTTTGTGGCGTTCTACCAGCGGAGAAAACAGAACAACGGAAGGCCAAGCTTTCCATTATGAAGAGGAGATACTAGCTAGGGAATGAAATCATAAAATATTAAATAGAATAGACTAGAGAGAAGCAATCCTCCAACTCCCTGATTTTAGTTTCTTATATGGAGTCATATAGATGTTGAACAGCACAACGGAGACCAACAGCCCATCGGTTGGAGTTTGGAAACCATTTACTGAAGGTTTAACTGACTTCAAGGGTGGTGACCAGTTGCTCTCGGGGCTGGTGGCTACGCAAAGTTCTGTGCCCCTGCTCACATCCATCTGCTTATCTTCTCCCCCTGAGAGGATGGATTAGGCACCCGAGAGTAAGAAGAGTTGGATAGAGACAGGATGGAGGTAATTAAATAGGTTTACTGCAGTTCCTTGCTTGTATTGAAGCAGCTGATACTCTGCCAGTTGCAAGCAAGAGGGACCTTTCAGGATGCTGCCGTAGAACCTTAATGGCATTCTCACTCTGATTATAAAACACTGACTACTACTAGCAGTGTGCTTTCTCACAGTAGAAAAATGCCTTTACATTTATGTAACCTGGGAAAAATGATGGTCTGTCTTTCAGTATCACAGTGACAGATGTTATTTTATGGAAACTACGATCAGCTCTTTGAATGTGAGGACAGGTTAATGCACAAATGGCATAAAGTGAGGACCTGTGAAGGGCGAATCTTTGCTTTATTGAACTGAGGGTCGCTGCCCTTCGTGAAGTCCTGCTGCTATAGGAAGAATTTTTATTTTCAAAGCTTTGAAACTCCTGTGCTCTTCAGGAAAGAGGGTTTTCTCATGCCACTGTTAAGGTCTGGTGCTTGGAGAAGTGTTGATAAAATTTAAGCAAATAAATTACTAACAGAGGACTTTTGAAAATGGAAACAGAAAATAAATGAGATGGTGATGAGCGCTGTTTATAATTAGATCTTTTACATTTCAGAATCTGTACTTTTTGTATTGTCTCATCCCTCACTTGCACACAAGAGTCTGAAAAGAAAATGATCCTCTTAACTTTTCCTGGTCTTTGCTCTAGAGGACTCTTAACTGGCCTACACAATAGCACCATCTATCTTGGGACTTTTATTTGCTGTGTATTTGGTTAATATATCTTATCTATTGCCATGAGCTTTCACCCTAGAACAAAAAAATAATTAATGCTATAAATTTCTATCTGTTTTTTTTGTGTGGCATTTTTTGGTCTCTACTATGGAGAGTATATCTGTATACTCACTCTCTTTGCAGACAGAACACATTAATGAACAAATGCTTACCCTGCGTGATTATAATTACTTATTTATTTTCTTATATAAAATAAAGAACTGATTGTAACTATACTTGGTTTTGATAAGGCATATTTATCTGTTATAAATTACAAAGAAGAAATGCTGAGTGATAAATTAGCAAAGAAGCAGCCCAAGAGAAATTTTATAGGGAATTTCTTTGGCATTTTGAATATTTCTCCTTAGTTCTGATAGTGTTCTGATAATTTGGGAAAAAAAAGAAGAAGAAACAGTAGTCATTGATATTTTTAAATGATATTACCATAAATATTTTCAAATGCATCAAACACTATTACTTTAGTCATATCTTCTCAGAGACAACAGTTTCTTGAATAATATAGGCAAGAAAAATAGAGAATAAATTAAAAACAAGGAAGCATGTACCAGCTCAGCACAGGAAGGCTTGTCTTCCAGGAGGCTATCATGTATTTTTAAAGATGTATTTATTTAGTTACACGCACTGTGAAGTGAT